ATTTATTATTTTTCCATATATCCTAATGGTAGATTAAGATCTTTAATCTTAGTCAAAAACCACAAGAAAAATCAAAAATATAAGCCTGATCAATATTTTTACTGAGAAATGTGGTTGGAGTAGTGAACATGTCTGGTCTAATGTCTGGATTTTGTGTGTAGACACGATCCAGCTTTTATATTCACACCTGGGACTGAGAAGAGGCTGTGTCACAAATTCATTCATGCCCATCATTATAGATGATTTTGAATGAGAGAAATAGCATTAAGTGTTGTAATGCTCAAACAAAGAATCAAATTTTGCTGATAGTTAATTATGCTTCTACTGATCAGAATATAACTAAGTAAATATGAATCTGTTTAACCTGACCAATAGATTCAGGCAGTCCTTCTCAAATAGTGGGGCGCGCCATCTGTGACCCCGCGGAACATGCTTCTTTTCCCCTAGAATAAACTGTAATTGCAGGTCTACTACAGTAGGTGGCAGGGTTTTTGGCACCAAGCATGCACGAACACACACACAGAGCACAGAGCAGGAGATATGAAGTGTCGTAAACAAACCTGCAAGAAAAATGGAAAAACTATTTAACGGTGACGAAAAGAAAGGCGGAGAGAGACGGAGATAATGAGACAAACGAAAGTCTCCTGAAAGCTAAGACGGGAAATATGATGAAGCGTATGTACTGTGTGTGGCACTCTGATCTCTGAATGTCTACTTTAAAAATGTCTATGATTTAATAAACGTATTGAGTAAAGTCTGATAGACAAACAGTTTTAAAGACAAAATGTTACTACAACTGGTCTAAAAGGGAGTACAATAAATAACAAATGGTAAAAAAAATATTCTTGTGAAAATGTGCTAAGGACAAATCTAAGTAAAGTAACATAAAATGAAGACATGAAATAACCTTTGAGATGAGCAGTTCAGAAGATTGGATCTCAGAAGTCCACCATTGGAAATTTCAGCAGAGACACAAGAGATATACAGTAGATACATAGTTATACATACATATTCATCTACATATCTATATATCTATCGGGAGGATGGTCACAACCAATCACATGCTTAGTGAATATTTCAGGCAGCAGAAACCAAAGAAAGAGGAGCAGGAGGCGGAACCACTATGGAAGGACAGGCCCTTGCATGGTATGTACTACAGACAGATATAAGAATTGGCTGACATCCAGAAGTCCTGCTGTTTCCTGGACTGAAAGACAGCACAGACATACCAGTCATGGCAGCACAGGAACAATCTCTAAGCA